AAAAAAAAACCTAACTAAAATAATATTTAAAAAAAATAAAGTATACAAATAATTATCATTAGAGAAATAAGGAAATAAATGAGGATGCATGAGCTGACTTTACGCATGTATGTTTCATAGCAAACTTAATGGACATGCAAGCCTGCCCTGCTGGAGTGGGGGTCGCAGTAGAAAAGTGCTGGGTGGACAAGCCTCCTTGAGCCACTTGGAGGCTCACCATTTCCAGCAGACTGCAAGATGCAGGTGATGGGAGAGTGACTGTCTCCTTTTCAGCCAAAGGCAATTTCCAGCTGCCACAAGGTTGAAATATTAGACCAAATTATACCACCTAAGTTAAAATAAGCACCCTTGGAATAGCGCACTATAAATATTAAGGTACATTCATTATGCAAGAAGTGGTACCCCCGATTCTGCATTTTCCCCCTGTTTCTGTATCTTATTAGCCAGTGTTGAAATCGCCGTTACTGTTAATGTCTGTGGCTATTTACTTCCACTGGTTGATGGGCAGATTATTGGCACACCCTCAGAGCCATTCCTTTCTATGATTGTTTCTTCCAGAAGCATCCTTTACGGCTATGAATAGAAAAAAAAAAAAAAACACTTAAACATTATGGGTGTTTCATATCTAAGAAGTTTGCAATTTGGCATAAAGCTGACAATATGCCTTAAGCAAAACCAAATCAACAAACAAAAAGTAAACCACCCTTTACTCGACTTTTGACCCACATTGCAATTCACAGACCATACACTGTCACATCCTTCTTTTGGATAATAGTGTGAAATTACTTTTAATGTGTTTATCTGGCAGGATCTATGCAATCGTACTGTTTGTTATAGTAGCTATCTTATCAGCCTAGAAATAGGTACCATTCCACTTGAGAAAATGAAGGGTTAACAATGCAGGACTTGCCCAAAGCCATATCATTAACAAGTGACTGAGCCTGTAAGCCACATCCTACCCTCTAATGTCTGTCTGTCTTTCTTTCTTTCTTTCTTTTTTTTTTTTTTGTCATTTTTCAAGACGGTTTCTCTGTGTAGCCTTGGCTGTTCTGGATTCACTTTGTAGACCAGGTTGTTCTTGAACTCAAGAGATCCAACTGCCTCTGCCTCCTTGAGTGCTGGGATTACAGATCTATACCACTTTGCCTGGCTGCTCTTTTTTTTTTCCCCTAGACAGAGTTCCATATATCCCAAGCTGGCTTAAAATTTGCACCCACTATGTATATCAGTTGATGTATACCCAGTTGATGCCATGCTGGGGCTCAAACCCAGGATTTCATACGTGTGGCATGGGAACCCTACCAACTGAGCTGCATCCTTATTTCCAGCCTCCACCTTTTCACATTCTAATCCCAGAGCCCTTATTAAGCATATATGAATATGTACAAGAACATGAAGAGTGAAAAGAGATTATTACAGAGCCAGTAAGATGACTTGGTAGATAAGGGCGTTTAACACAGGCCTGATGATCTGAGTTCCGTCTCCAGAACCGACATAATATGAGAGAACTCATCCCCACAGGCTGTCCTTTGATTTTTACAGGCAAGCCTTGCCTCTCCCCAATAAATAAATGTAAACTATTCACTGTTTTATAAAAGGTACTTTAAAAGGAGACACTTTAGTTTAAGTTTAGATTTTTTTTTTTACTAAAAATTCCAAACAATTTTATTCCACTTTCTAAAGTACCCACGGAATGTGACCAACTGACAAAAATCTAAGGTTAGAATTTTAACTGCTGCTTAAGGCATAGCCTATATGGCTGAAAATGTGCTTATTGAACTATATTAAAACTTGCTTTCTGATGGGCTAGGGAGTTGGCTCGGCAGTTAAAAGCATTGAATGCTCTTGCGGAAGCCTCAGGTTGTATTCTCAGCACCCACACAGTGGCTCACAGCAGACTGTAACACTTGTTCCAGAGGATCTGATACCCTCTTCTGATCTTCACAGGACCAGGTACACAAATGATGAATGGATATACATGCAAGGCAAAACATTCACACAATAAAAGTAAACAAAGATTAAAAAAAAAAAAAAAAAAAAAAAAAAAAAAACACCTTTAATCCCAGCACTGGGAGGCAGAATTCTGGGATTAGAATGTGAAAAGGTGGAGGCTGGAAATAAGGATGCAGCTCAGTTGGTAGGGTTCCCATGCCACACGTATGAAATCCTGGGTTTGAGCCCCAGCATGACATGGCAGTCAGATCTCTGTGAGTTCAACAGGACAGTCTACAGAGTGAGCTCCAGGACAGTCAGGGCTACACGGTTAGGGCAAAACCTTGTCTCAAAAAACAAAGAGAAACAAAACAAAACAAAACAAAAAGTGAATGTGGCCACTGTTGCCACCCTTATTGGTTTGTTGTGCTCTGGGCTAATTCTGAGGGCCTCCTGTCTTTTCTTTATATCTTCTTCTCCCTAGGTGACCTCATTCAGTCCCACGGCTTTAAATATAATCTATACTAACGACTCCAAAATATATGTCTCCTGCCAAACCGATCTCTCCAAATGTGAGCCTGCCCATGTCACTTTCGATCCTCAGAATCACTGCTAGGCTTCCCATCGCTCTCTCTGAAGTAATCGGAGCCCCACTGAGGGCTCCGTAAGGCTCTACACACCCTGCCCTACTTTGCTGATGATCCCTCAGCTCTTCCCACACTTTCTTTTTCAGCCACACTGCTATTGTTTGTTGAGCAACCCTAAATATTATTGCTCCCCAGACCCTTTCTATTTCCCGTTCTGCTCTGTGTGTCCTTCCCCAAATGTTCACCGCAACATGACCCTCTGTGCTCAAATACTATCTCACCAAAGAGCCAGTCTATCCCTGACCCCCGTGAGAGAGGACTCTTTCCTTTTCTGTTTGCTCTATGTTTCTCTATGGTCTGTTTACTGACGATTCTATTCATTTTTTCATGGTCTGTTGTTTTTGCCTAGAATGTGAGCTGAATTATAGCAGGAATCTGATCTTGTTCACAACCCCTAAATCAGTGCTTGGTATGTGGCAGGCGTTCAATAAATATTTATTGCTTAACTATAATTACGTTAATTGCCCAGCTTCTAAACTCTCTTGCTCTTTCTACCCCACTAATCTTATGTTAGGAAGATACAAACTTCTTTATGAATTACACTGGTTCTTAAGACTCCTATATTGAAACTTTGGGGCCAGTGATATGGCCTATCAGACAAAGGCACGAGTCACCAAGGCTGAAGACCTGAGTTCCATCCCAGAGACCCACACTGAGGGAGGAGAGGAATGACTGCTTCAGATTGTCCTCTGAGCTCTCTAGTAGTACTGTAATATTCGTGTGTGTGGGTGTGTGTATACTCATGTGCACACATCGAAGCAATAAACATTTTAATAAAGTAGACATTTTCTCCATAGTAGAGATTGATTTACTTAATTAAGAAACATTCACTGCACACTTGCCACAAACTCTTAGATAAGAAATAACGAGCAGAGCTAGTGAGATGGCTGACCAGGCAAAGGTACTCAATACCAAGGCTGATGGCCTGGGTTCAATCCCAGGAACCCACAATGATGGAGAAGAGAACTGACTCTTGCAATGAACTGTTAGTGACTTGAAGAGCTAGCTGGAAAGTAATACTTGTGCTTCTGAATCACTAAGCTAATCATTGGTTCTGGGTTGCATCCAAACAGAACACTTGACCATTCTTTAAACTTCTCTCTCTGCCTATTCATTTCTTAAGTTTTAGCCCACTCACTTGCTTAACTCAAATTGTAGGGCATTTTCCTGCACTTCTCTGTATCCCATCCATCTGTAAAGACTATAAGCTACAAAATCCACTCTACCTATCCTGCCACTACCTGGTCTCCTCCCTGCCAGCTCTCTAACCCCTGTAAGGCCCAGGACAGTACCACTTGTCTAAGGCTGCCAGCTTTCTCTTACATTCTCATCACCCCATTTACCGTTTTCTCCCAACAGCCAGAGACTTCATAAGAATGTAAATTACACAGTGCTCTCTTGATTGAAGATTTCAGTGGCCTCCTTTTGTTTTACCACTATAAATTAGTGACTCAGAAAAACTTCTGGCCCATTACCTTAGCCTGGTGTGATGAAAGACAGTCACTTCTGGTTCCATGGGCCTGCTTTTATGATCACAGCACAGAAAGCCCCACCCTGTCCCCAAATACCTATACTGGCAAGTAATCATATAAATGAGCCCACCTTAAATGGCATTTAAGCCAGAGAGGCTTTCTCAGACCACCTCTTTGTCCAATCTGCTCTATCAGAGAGTGAGTTAATGTTTTGTTTATGCTTTGAGGTATCAGTGGAGTTCATAACAGCATCCGGAGCTTGCACTCCAGAAATAAAGATGGAATGATAACTGTCTCAACCTAGATAGCTGACGTAGGAACTGCCTAATATCTAGCCTTACTAATTTCCTCATTCAGTTCGCTCAAATCCATAATTGTTTGAACCCACACAAAGGACCAACGTTAACAGGAGGACTCTCACCCTCATTGTTTCTTAGTAACCTCAGGTCAAGATTTGGATTCCATTCAATAGTTTAGAATCACTAAATAAGGGAGGGAGAAAGTCTGAAATGAAGATTATTGGAAAGAAAAACTATCATTTGTCACTTAAAATATTGAGGCCCATGAGAAAAGAAAATTCACAAAATCAAGCATTTTTGGAGTTGTATATGTTAGAGACTGTAGGCGGGAGGGAAAAAGTGAAATAGGAAAACCGAATCTGAAGGAGAGAGAACATAGCCAGCATACCATGCTGTATGAATTCAAGGCTCTGGGGTTTGGGTACCACTTTTTGCCCTGTAGAAAAACCAAGATGCAGGAAAGTGGAATGGGGAGGATAGAAATGATAGGGCCTGGCACCAGGACCAGTGACGCGAAAGAAGCTACAGAGGAAGTAGGACTGAACAGAGCCGAGGAGAAGAGAGCAATACAAAAGCAGCCTCGGATCTCGCCGGAGTTGCAAGCGTTAAAGGGAGGCGGGGAATGACGCGGTTTGCGTCTAGAGCGGCTCCTTGGAGTCCACAGCATCCACCGCCGGAGCCTCGCCTTCCTTTCTCCGTCTGCAGACAAATCGAGACACAAAAAGAGGCAACCCCGGGCCAGTGCAAGGGACCTATTCCCATCATGACCGAGACCACAAAGACCCACGTTATCCTGCTGGCCTGCGGCAGCTTCAATCCCATCACTAAAGGGCATATTCAGATGTTCGGTGAGTCCTCCCGCCCACCCCGGAGGCTGTTTCCGCTGCTTTACTCTCGCCAATACCAGGGTTTTCCAGGGAGATCGGGCAGGAAGGCGTGCGCCCCTCCGGAGGGGTGCGCCGGCTGGTCTGGCTAGTGCCAGGTCAGTCGGTCCCTGCGATCCCCGCTAGCGCGAGCCGACGCACACTACGTTTTTGCTTTTTTTTTTTTTTTTTCCAGGCTCCTCTAGCCTGGGGCCAGATCGCCTCGCCGAGGGCCAGGGGTGGGGGAGGTGCGGGGCTGGGGGTGTCCTCTGGGGCCGGGTTGGGGCTCCAGGTTAGAGCCTTGGAGTGCGGTGGTGCGGAGATCTGATTACTTGGCGGGCGAGGGTGGGGATGGGGCAGAGGTCGGGAAGGGAGGAGAGAGGCTGGAGATAACGTGCTGTTTGTTTAGGATGGGCAGGAAGCTTGAAGGAGTTAAATATGCCTCGGAGACGCAAACACTCGCACACGACACACCACTGGCAGGGACTGGGGCTTCCTGGAGGCACAAGGGACAAATGTTTGGGGATGGTAGCCGTGGTGACCCCGAGCGCGGTGGATGCTGACTGATGGAAAGGGAGGGGTGCCACCGGCCGGCCGAGGTTTGCCTCCCTCGGCCTGGGAAGGGGAGGGGGCGGGGCGGCTGCTGCGGGAGGTGGTCCATGAGCCGGCGAGATGGATCCGGGCCCAAGTTGGCCAAGGTTCTTCCCAGGGCGGCGACGGCAGCCGGCAGCCTTGCGGTGTTGGGGGTCGAGGGTTGGTGTGCGGATGTGCGGGAGAGCTCGCGTGTGGGGTAGGGACGCGTGTTCGCGAGTTTGTCTTTTGAGGTTTGGGGCGCCCAGCGAGAGGCTCTGAGCCCCGGCGTCTGGGTGCGTGTGTAAGGTCCGACAGAGAGACAGGCGAGGGGTGGCCGTCCACGCAGGCTGGAAATCTCGCCGCCAGTGCGGAATCCGCGCGGCGGGGAGGCTGCTCCCGCAGCACCCAAAGGCGCAGGTCGCGTGCGCGTCTGGACCCCCGAGGGAGGGACGCGGAGGTCACTCGAAAAGCAGGAATCGAGAAGTTAGAAGTCGGGGGCGTTTTCGTTTTTTTTTTTTTTCATTTGTAGTTTTTCTTTTCCTGGGAGTCGGGGAAAGGAGCTGGGGAGCCATCCCGGGGCGACGGGAGAGGCACGGGGTGAGAGGCTGGGCTCCGGCCCTGCGGTGAGGCGCTCTCCGCGGGCGGCGGTGCTGAAACGCAACGCGCTGCCACCGGCTGCGGGCACACGTGTTAGCCCAGGGCTGGAGGACCGCCAGAGCTTCCCTGGGCTGGTTAATGAAAGCCACAGCACATCCGGAACGACCACCCCAAACGCTCAAGCTAAAAAGACTCGCCTCTGACTCCAAAAGGTGAATCTGAATTGGGCCTGACGATTAAAAAAAAAAAAAAAAAAACAACTCATGACAAGGTTATAAAACTACCCTGCGCGCAGGGCATATCCGGTCGTCGCCTTAAGAGAATGGGAGGAGGGCGCCCGAGAAGTAGCCGTCCCTTCCGCTTTATTCTGTAAGCTTCGGAAAGTGTTCACTCAGAGGCGACGCCAGCTTGCCTGTTCAACAGCGGGCTTTGTTCCAGCTTCGAGGTAGACCAGCAGCAGGCCGGCCACCGCCTCAGTGGTCTGAAGTAGCAGCGACCCAGGCATCCACCACTTTTCACTTTCTTGTAAGACCAGGGTCTTTTTTTCCCTGTACGCCTCTGTCGAGATTGTTTCCCTCTCCTTTGGCCGGGCGGGATCGAGCTTCCTTGGGAACTCTTCAGCTCTAGGAATCTTTAGTGGGCCGGTGGGCGCTCCTCCTTTCCTTCTGGGACCAAGGATGTGGAAAAACCCTGCTTGCTGTAAGTGGGTCCGATTTTGATGGAGAGCAAGGGCACGGCCTTGCAGCCGGAGAGTTTGGTAGCAGTGATGAAGGTGGTTCCTTCCAGTTCTCCAGGAGCTTCGGGGATAGAATGTGAGGGCAGGCACAGGTCGTAGCAGAAGGTTTTACATCTAGAAAAAGTGAAAAGGGACTGTTGACCCAGTGGCCATTATTCACTCCCCATTGGCAATGAGTGCCAGTCGAGACTATATGTCAAGAAAGCCCTTTGAGTGTCCATTAAGCGTAACCTAAAGAGGAACACAGGAAAAAGATGTGATGTGATCCACGGGCTGAGGAAGCTACCTACTTAATGGAGGCTTTTTTTAAAGTACGTGAATACGTGAAAAGGAAGCAAGAAGAGGAAGACAGAACTGGATATTAAACTATATGTTGCGGAATCTTGTGTTGTTATCTTTGCGTTTCTGATACAGTTTGCAATTTGTTTCTATGACATCTATTTTTTATTATTTGTGTGTGTGTGTGTGTGTGTGTGTGCTACAGCTTTTCATATGGAGGTCAGAGGACAACTTGTGAGAATTTCTGTCCTACTGTGTATGTGCTGGTACTGAACTCCAATTGTCAGTTTTCATGGCAAGCACTTTTGTCTTCAGAGCCATTTTAGCAATCCCGAAAAAAAATTTTTTTGTTTGTTTTCTTGTTTAATTACTTTCAGAGAGCCTGTCTCAGTTTTATTACCCTAGATGGCCTAGAACCTACTATGTGAACCTGGCCAGTCCTGAACTCACAGAGATCTACCTGCCTCTGCCTTGTGAGTGTTGGGATAATAGGCTTAAATTGACCTATGTTTCTTTCCTTCCTTCCTTTTCTTCCTTCCTTCCTTCCTTCCTTCCTGCCTGCCTGCCTGGGTTTCTCTGTGTATAGCTTTGTCTGTTCTGGAACTCACTCTGTAGATCAGGCTGGCCTCCAGCTCACAGAGAGCCACAGGCCTCTGCCTCCTCAGTGCTGGGGTTACCGGTGTGCACCACCATGCTTGGCTTCATTTTATATTTGTTGGTAATGGCTCTCATTCTTAGTCCAAACTGGTCCTAAAGTCATGGTAATTCTCCTGCCTTAACCTTTGCAAGCACTAGAACAGGCATGAGGTGCCGTGCTTGGCTTTATGAGTTATTTTTGTATGACAGTTTCTGGTTAAAAGCTTTTCATGCATGTTTTGAATTTGTTCATGTTAATAATCTTACAAGACAAATATCACCATCTCTTTTGTGAGTGGAAAACTGGTTTCCAGAGACTGAACAGGTAACGAAGTGATTTGATTTGAGGCAGGGTCTCAAATACCCTAGGCTGATCTCAGTATGGCTGTGCTGCCAAGGGTGACCTTGAACTTCTGACCCTCCTGCTTCTGCCTCCTGAATGATGGGATTACATGAGTACACTAGTACTCCTTTGACTGAGTTGCCTTGAACCCCACATTTCAGGTCCCTCTCACAGACACCGCTGCACTGCCAGGGGTGCATGGGCCAGGAAGAAGTGCCCAGTGAATTTGGTTGGGTGGTCTTGTGAACCCTATTTCCTTTAAACTTATCAAAGTTAGGATGAAATTGACTATCAGCTTACCGAATTCTCTGTGAGTTTTCCTTAAGAGCTCTTTCTCATTGCAAAAGAGACAACGTATCCACTCACCATATTTTTTTAAATGACTTGAAGATTTTCTCCCCAAGAACACACAAGTACTTAACATAATTGTATTATCAATTTCCTTCAGGGGTGTGAAATTTAGTGGTACATGCTTATAGCCAGAGTTCTAGATGCAGAAGCTGGGAGTCAGGAATTCAAGGGCAGCCTGTGCTACAGGAGACCATATCTCGAAAACCTTCACTTCCTTTGTAGAGCAAACACTTGTATTTTCAAAATTGAGTGGCTTATTAGAGAGAAAGAGAGAGAATATAAACAAATAAACAAACCAAATAAACATCAAGCACTAAAGAATTCACTCTTTTTTTTTCTAAATGTGTGTGTATTGTTCATGTGTGTGCAGGAGCGCACATGTGTACAGGGAGGGGCACGTGTGTGAACGGGACGGCTTTAGGTGTCATCCTCGGGAGCCACTCACCCCTTTTAAGACAGGGCCTCTCCCTTACAGTCCCAGAGATAGGCTTTTTTCCACCTCCACAGTGCCAGCGACACAAGCTTTTTTTTTTTTTTTTTTTTTTAATTGGGTTATGGGGTTTGAAGTCAGGTCCTTGCAAAGAAAGGACTTTACTGATGAAGCCATTCTCCAAGCTTCATTCTTCATGTCTATAAATTACACCTAGTATAATTTTGCGTATTTTAAAATATTTTAGAATGAATCTTTCTTTTACGCTGAAAGGGGAGTTGAAATTATGTAGGCTACAGAAACATAGGAAAACATAGTATTTGTGACTAAGATAATTGATAGTTTCTCATTTACAGGGATGTTCTCAGGGATGAATAAAGAGCTTTTAGCAAAGTAAGTTCGTGAACTAATGATGCCACTTTTCATGGGTTGACCTCACTCCATAAGAAGGCAACAGGAAAGCTGGGCATTGGTGGCACACACCTTTGAACCCAGCACTCAGTAGGCAGAGGCAGGTGGATCTCTGTGAGCCCGGTCTACACGGTGAGTTCCAGGAGAGCCAAGGCCACACAGAAACACAGAAACTCTGTTTCGAAAAGAAGGCCATGTGAAGCTTGTAAGCCCTTTATGTAAATTTTTAGTTTTTATAACTTCAAAGAAAATTATACTGAAATACCATTTCTAGCATAGTCATGTTAATCTCTACTTAAAATCATCTAAAATTAGTAATAACAAAGCAAGGTATGGTGGTGCACACCTGTGATCCCAGCACTCAGGGAGGCAGAGGCAGGTGGATCTCTGTGAGCTGAAGGCCAGCCTGCTCTACAAAGTGAGTCCAGGACAGCCAAGGCTACACAGAGAAACCCTGTCTCAATAATAATAATAAATATTTATATTGATTTTTTTTGTAAGTCTACCATTGAGTAATCAAACAGCAAGTTTGAGTAGAAAACTAAAAAGGCTGATTGATTAGTTCGGGCATAAAAGATAGAAGAATGGGATGATTTGATCAGCAGAAATATATTCTGCTTTTGGATGAC